ATTATGGAGGACAAATGAAAGTGAAACTGGTCATGTCCCATTCATTGTATTTGTGTCATAAGTTACAGGAACAATAAATTCACTATTTATGGTGCAATGATATATGGAGAAGAAATATAAATAATAGTCATAAATGTGACGAGCACTCTGATGTTGAAACCTTAAAGAGTCTACATGGCTTTTAATTGTTTCCTTTCACCAAATCCTCTTCATATTTTTGTCAATGGACCATAATTTGTACTGCCAAACACACAATTTCTTCTCCTTTTCACAATTGAAGCACAATCCCTTTAACAAATGCAATAATATTTTTTTTTTTTTCTTCTTTGAAAAATGAATTACTACTACATCTTAACTCTTTCCACTTAAGGGTAGCAAACGCAGCAATACATTCTTGAATTGGTATGATGAGATTGAGAAAAGTAAATGGAAAGCATACTCTACTTAAAATGAGCCTTGAGGAACCTTTATGTGTAAGCACTAAGCAATGAGTATTGTAACCATTTATAAGAGCCCCAAATCGGTGCCTTTTCTTTTCTTCCTCTTTCTGCAATACACATTTTCTCCCAATCAAACATTCCCCTCTAAGATTTTTGTGGGGTTGGGTTTCTTTTTCTAATAGTAAGTTATGTGGCCGACTTTTTTTTTTAACACAGTTTTATACATAGATAACATACTTTAGATAATGTAAATAAATGCGAAATTTCACTATATAATATATATATATTTTTTATTTAAAAAGTATGACGGGTTGGACTACCTAATCGAAATTTCATTCTTTCTGCAAACTATATAATTAGTTACAACGCCGCGTGCTTATATGTTGAACAATCTAAGAACATTTTTTCTAATCCCCAACAATGCACTAAAATCATTAAAAATACAGTCAACAAACACAACCGTTTTAACTCTTTAACATTTAGATGTGCAGTTTAGTGGAGTAAAATGAATTTTCGAACCAAATATTGAAAAGGAGTAAACTTTGGTTTCATCCTCGCATGAAAGGGGGGAAAGTGAGAATTGCCAACTTTTGTATATAATCATAATCAACCTCACGCGTGTAGGCCATTAGCATAACTAGGAGGTATTATGATCATAATACATGTAACCATAAAGCAACATACAAAACATTTGTGTGTGTTTTGTGTGTGTAGGGTCAAGATCAACTTCAAATGGTATGTATGGTCCATGCTTGCCAACATCCCATGTGAGAATCTAGCTAGCCTCCTCTTTTGGAGTAATCTCACTACATTTAATCAAATATTAAGCCTATTGTTATCAAATATTAAGCCTATTGTTAAGCAAGTCTGACGGTTATAAATATTAGTCATGTTGTTGTNTTTTTATAAATATGCATATGTTTAAACTTAGATGGTGTGCGGTTAAAAAAATATAAACAAAAATACGACACTTATAGCAAAAGTTTCAAATTTTGCTAAAATGTGTGATGAATCGACTCGTCCAACGATTAGGCTGATCCGCACAAGAATCTGTGTTAGTCAATGATGTTTGGCTACAATTTGTGAGTTATTATTCCTTAATTATCACTATATATGATACAAGCATGATGTGGCATAAATGTGGCGTATAATTTTGAATTATTTAAGTGGATTACCTTGGATATATAATGAGTGGTGTAATTAGGTTTATGATGGACAAAAATTATCAGATCTTCGATTAAGTTTGGATGCAAGGTCGTGCAAGTTTAAATGTATAATTTGTCCCACATTTACAATATTATGTAAGATAATTGTTTAATTGACTTGGAGAAATTTGACATGGTAAGTTAGAATATGTATATTACTCAAAAAAATATTTTTGTCTCATAAGAATTTTGAGAATTTTGGTTGAGCAAACAGGTGCTTATAACTCATTATAAGCATTTATCTTGAGGAGAGTTTCATTTAAGATTTTTATAAAGCTTTCACTTTTGACTATATCTTGTTTTCGACGTGTGAGAACTGTTGAAATTTATGGAGTATAATTTTTCAAGCTTTTTGGTCGTTGTGCCTTACAGTTTGAGTGTAGCAATTTAAAATTAATCAACCAAAACAAATTAATTATCTCTTGACAGCTAAATTTATTAAAACAATTACTGGCCTTGGTGTGTTGATTATATTTATCAATTATCTAAACTAATGGCGAGAAGTTCTGGTATGCTAGATAATCACTGATATTTGCTTACGCTACAAGTCGTCAATTTTTTTGACTTTTGTCCGGTCAAGATTCAATATGATATTGTCCACAATCCATTTTATCTGTATTCCTTCTCACTGGTGATATAATGATTTACTGAATAAAATTTGTCCAGACATTGTCATGCTTTGCCCCAGAAAATGAGAAAAAAAAAAAAGCTATGCAAATAAATTTATGCGTCTAATCTACGGGATTTGGCATGATAATGCAACAGTGTATAGATGGTCAAATATTTTCTGTGAACAATTAATCGCAATCACCTCCGCTCAATTAGGCGAAGAAAATAAAAACCGAAAGCCAAATTATTGTGTGACATTTCGACCTTTTAATGTAGGAAATACGAAAACTTTTGTTTTGTGAAGCACTGACACATCATGTATCACTTGAAAGTTAATTGTTCATTCATTCAAAATTAAACTATATAAATGCTCATCACATATCAAATATACTAAGATTTAGAAAAAAAAAATATGTAAAATAAAATATTTATTGATATCAAAAATCAATTACACAGCAGAAGACAAAACAACTACTACAGGCAGCTTGAATCCATCCTCAACATGTCAAGAGAAGCTTAATTAGCACTGGCAATACATAATATTACCCTACTCCTTTATCTTCACTGACAGTTAAGGGGTGACCTGGTAAGAAATCCTTTGTCCATCAATCAGCAGCACTAAGTGGCACTCCTTAGGGGCAGGTTCCATTACCAAGGTCAGAAAATTCTAGCCATGCCGCTGTAGCTTGAAGAACTATGTGTAGCTCAGAGGTGTTTTTTCTTTGAAACATCCAAGAATTTCGAGTTTTCCAAAGCCACCACATAATATAAGTGGATAAGGAAACTCTATCTTCCCACGAGGCAGCTCCTTTCATTAAACACAAATTTTCCCACCAGCCTTGAAAAGAGACACTCTCTTCAGCCAAATAATTCCACTGTAAGCCAGCAAGTTTCCATACTCTTTGAGCTCTAATGCAGAGAAATAGAATGTGCTCAACAGATTCCTCAGATTCACCACACAATTCACAAATAGTATCAAGACAAAGCCCTCTGGATTTTAACTTGACCTTACAACTCAGAAAACCAAACCAACATCTCCATACAAAATTTTTTATTTTGTTTTGAACAGGAAGATGCCAAGTAACTTGCCATACCTTTTTTCTTCTCGCTTTGCCCACACTTGATTCAGCAGTGACTATAGCCAAGGAATGATTTTGCTGCTGTTTGGATAAAATAGCATTATACGCATCTTTCACTGTAAAAAGACCTTTCAGATTTTGATGCCACACTAACTTGTCATTGGGACCACGTGTACTAATTGGAATTTTGAGAATGCTGTGAGCATCAGTTGGCCTAAAGGTCTGCCTGATAAGGTCTTCATCCCATTGTGTGCCACCTGCATTCATTAAGTCTGAGACCAAAATGAGATTTTCTTTATCAGCAGCAAAACAACATTTTGGAATAAAGTCAATTGCTTCTGGAACCCAGGGGGAATTCCAGATAGAGATAGCTCTGCCATTGCCTACTTGAAATCTCAGACCCAATTTTAATGATTTTCTAGCCGCCAACCAAGATTTCCACAACCATGAGTCAGAGCTTTTCAAGGAGATGTCAAAAATATTCTGATTATGAAAATATCTTCCTTTAATAAGCTGACTCATAAGCAGGTTTGGCTGAGTTAGTACTCTCCATAGCTGCTTAACAAGAAGAGCTTCATTAAAAACAACTAAATTTCTGAATCCCAGCCCTCCATCTTCCTTAGGCAATGAAAGAACATCCCATTTTGCCCAGTGGATCTTGTTTTTCCCATCCTCATTCTGCCCCCACCAAAAGTTGGCCACTGTCTTACAAATGTCAGAACAAATACCAATGGGGAGTCTAAAGCAGGACATAACATAAACTGGAAGAGCATGAAGGACAGTTTTAATCATAACCTCTTTTCCCGCTTCACTCAAAAATCTGTTTTGCCAATTTTTAATTCTAGAAATAACACACTCACTCACAAATTTAAAAGTATCTCGTTTAGAAATTCCAATTCCAAGGGGGAGTCCCAGATACTTAGAAGAGTTTACCACAGAAATACCTCTGAACATTTGACATATTTCAGACTTAAGAGAGTCAGGAGAATTCTTAGAGAAAAGAATACTAGACTTATTAATATTTACCTGTTGACCAGAGGCAACACAAAATCTATTAAGCAGACTAACAAAAGAGCAAACTTGCTGGGGAGATGCTTTACAAAAAATAAGAGAATCATCAGCGAAGAAGAGATGAGTAATAGGGGGAGCATACTTACTAATTTGCAGTCCCTGGAAAGAAGATGAAATGCAAGCTTACTTAATGAGATTAGAGAATGCTTCAGAGACAATTATGAATAAATATGGAGATAGAGGATCTCCTTGCCGGAGACCCCTAGAAGGCTGAAAGAAACCTTTAGGCTGACCACCTAAATTAAAGGAAAATGAAGAAGAAGAAATACAAACCCAAATCCATCTAAGAAATTGAGAGCAAAAACCCATAGCAACACAAACTTGTATCGAAAAATTGTGAGTGAACATTTGTTTAAAGTGAAAATACGCATGGCTGTCAATTTGTTACTAAATTGATTTTAAAAAGGAACAAAAAATGCTGTAAAATAATCAGATTATAAATCCATCAAACATATCGCCGTGCAGAAAGAGACGCGCAGGCCACCCAACTCAACTGAAACTGAACCTCCGTTTTCTTTTTATATCTGAGAAAAAAAAAGAAAAATTACTCAAGCTCACACTTATATATATATATATATATATATATATATATGTATGTATGTAGAGAGAGAGAGAAGAACCTCTGTGCTGCCATTTTCATCGCGCCCGAACAAGCTATCCAAAGCCTCAACAATCTGTTTCAACTGCTTGAAAATGTAAAAGAAATGCGGTTTTCATTTTTTTTTCACTTTTGTCTTTGTTTGATGTTGAATAGATCTTGAAACGATTCATCCTTTTTTTCTTGATAGCGACCGTTCGAGGAGCGCCGCAGCCGGCCATTCCGAATTCCGACTCCTTTCGAATCCGGTTGGCGGAATAGAATTGGAAGCGGTTGTAAGATTGTTTTGGATTGAGGAATTCGCCGGAGAAGTTGAATCAACTGATTGAGTGACGGCGGCTGAAATGGATGATAGAGGAGGAGGGGGAGGAGGATCGTTTGTTGCCGTGCGGCGTATTTCTCACGGGCTCGATCGAGGAAGCGCATGCCATTCTACTTCTGGTATATTCCTTAGCCTTTTGGAATCGTTTCTATGTGCGTCATCTTTAGTGTTTTCTCTCTCTAACTTTTTCATCCTTTTTCTCGAAATGTTATTTTGATTTCGTCTCATTTTCCACTATGTGCCTATATGCATAACTATATGCATATAATGTGTACTGAAGTCTGCAGTGCATGTGAAGAATAACGAAATCGATGAAGTTGCGTTAATTTATGACTACTTGCGTTAAGATTTTTGGTTGTTTCCATTGTTTCTGTTCTTGGAGTTCGTCTGTTCTTTTTCTGTAATCCCCATTTGCTCTCTGTTTTTCTTGGAATGGGCCGCGCTTTTGTGAAGTTGGATTCAGCAATTAAGCGTACTTATTACAAGTTTTGTATTATTTTTGTAGAAAATTTGTTACAGAACAAGGAATAGCTGATTTCTGTTTGGATAAGATTCAATCTGTTACGATTTGGTAAAAAATTTTACATACAGGACCTTCTATGGCAGTGGTAAGTTGCAGGGTTTGAATAGGATTAATAAATTTCATAACTGTAATTGCTTTTATGTCATCCCTCTCGGACCTGCTCCGGAGTTCTTGTTTTCCTTTTATTCTAGATTTTGTGTTAGAGTTTTTGAAATGTGTAAAGATTGTTCTGTTTAACAGTGATTAAAAGGGCGAAAGAGTGTGTATGGTCGAGGTTTTGCGTTTCCTGTATAGTATATTTGTTTTTATCCTAAACTATTCAACTTAATGTAGTACTCAAGTAATTTTATGTAAACAAACCATGAGTACATACATACTTGGAGAAAAATTGATTCTCGATATAAAAGTATGTTGCATCATTTCAGGAGGAACTGGGAATGGACTCTTAATATATTACTTTGTTTATCTTTGCCTATCATGTCCTTTTGTTACAGTAGAGGTTGTGGCAGGGTCTGCTGCATGGCTAGGCAGAGGCCTTTCGTGTGTTTGTGTTCAAGGAAGAGACTGTGATGCACGCCCATCATTTGATTTGACACCAGCACAGGTAATTTTCTATTTTATTAATTTATTTAAACCATGGTTTCTGTTACTATTTTGCTCTTAATATCCCACAATTGGTGCCTACTTCACTAGATTCTGATGTTTCTGAGTTACTCTATGCACCAGGAGGAATGCTTGCATAGGCTACAGAACCGGATAGATGTTAACTATGATAGTTCTGTTCCAGAACATCAGGTATAATTCATAGAACTGCAGATGGGAGAGCTTCTATAAGTTTTAGTTCCACTTTCTCATCAAATCAGTTCCATTTTTGTTATAGGAAGCTTTGAGGGCTTTGTGGCATGCTGCCTTTCCTGGAGAGGAACTTCATGGATTAATATCAGAGCAGTGGAAGGAAATGGGTTGGCAGGGAAAAGATCCATCGACAGATTTTAGGTATACCTGGACTTTCTTTGGTCCCTAGGATCAAATTAGCAGAAATATTACTCATCTTATTTTTCCTATGGCTGTTATTCTTTAGGGGTGGTGGTTTCATATCGTTGGAAAATTTGCTATACCTTGCAAGAAACTTTCCAGTATGCTCTCTCTCTCTGTCTCTCTCAGTGTTGCTTCTTTGTCTCTCATTTCTCTGCCTGTTATTTCCACCTTAAATCATAATGTCATGGTGCATTTAGTTGGTTTAGTGGAGTGGACTATCACACTGCTTCTGGGTGTTGTGTCTATAAAGGACTTATCACATTTGCTTTATCTTTACTTTCTATTCAACTGTGTATATTGGAGAAATTTGACCTCAACTAATTTTCTCATAGAAATCCTTCCAAGATCTACTTCGGAAAAAGGAAGGTGATCGTGCATTGTGGGAATATCCCTTTGCTGTAGCTGGTGTCAACATTACATTCATGCTTATACAGATGCTTGACCTTGAAGCAGGTGAATGTTCTGAGACTAGTATCTGAATGATCTTGTGTCTTTATGGACCTGAGTCCTGTTAACGTCCTCAAGCCATTGTTTTTCCCCTTTGCTAATTGCTTTCATCATAAAACTTCTGGTGCAGTCTATTTGTTTTAGTTCCAAGTTTGTTGGTAAATAAACAATTTTAGAGTTTGAATATACCTACATTACTTTTGTAGTTGGTATATAATATCAACTTCTTTGATGACTGTGTCGTACAGATCTTTCCATGTCTTGGTTATTTCAGCAATTGGAGTTGAGCTAAGATAAATTGCTACACGTGTTCTTTGGCATGATTTGTGCACAGAAGTACCTTTAGTGAACTTGTGAAAATAGTTTTCTACAAATCAAATGACTTTTGTGGACTGGATCTTGCTGCTGTTATTTAATCTGTTCCCTCATCTTTGCAGTGAAGCCCAGAACACTTGTGGGAGCCACGTTCTTGAAGTTCCTCACAGGTAATGATATTAATCTGATGTGCATTTGCTCCGTGAACGAATTAGAAACATAAGCTAATCTAACATTTGTAAGCTTCAAACTTGGTTTGATCCGTGCACATTTTTGCTTAATTCACTCAATTTTGGCCAACAGAAAATGAATCGGCATTTGACCTTCTGTACTGTATAACATTCAAGCTAATGGACCACCAATGGCTCTCCATGCATGCCTCTTATATGGATTTCAATGTAAGTGTCCTGTCTTTTAGAACAAGTGATTATGTTATCTGAGATAGTTACATGATTGCAGCATAAACCATTGATTGTGTCTCTTGCCTATTATTCAATCAATTTTCTTTTAATTTAACTTTATCTTGTACATGATTCATGTAGTTTTCATTTCATTTCATTTATTTATTTCCTTTATGGAATGGTTAGACTGTGATGAAAGCCACTCGGCGTCAGCTGGAGAGGGAGCTCCTGCAAGAAGATGTTGCAAGTCTTGAAGATTTGCCCTCCTTTACCCTTCTCAGTCGCTAATCATCCATAACTCCACGCTAGTAGTGTTTCGTCCCCCTTTTTTTTCCGGTTTTCTGTGAAGGTAATCGAGGAGAAGAGTTTTAACGCCAAAAAATAGAACTATTGATGACATTTGAGTATAACAGTCAAAGAAACTTATTCTGTCAACTTCTTTTTTATTTCTTTGTTTTCTTTTTCGCCTGTCCAGAGTCACTCTGGCCTATATGATGTTGTAATTGTTTGATATCGGATTTGAAATTGGCAAAGTATAAAAAAGCGTGGAAATTTTACTAGTCAAAGCACTTTTGTGGTATACGCCTAGAGTTGTAAACGAACCGAACGTTCGCGAACAAAAACTCGTTCGTGTCCGACAAAAGCTTGTTCATTTGTTAATCGAGCTGAGTTCAAATAGAAAATTAGGCTCGTTTAATAATCGAACGAACATGAGCTCGATCATGAACGTTCTTCGCGAATATTAATTTAATATAATTTTATTTTATTTTTTATATATTTACATAATATTTTTAAGAGAAATGCGATAGGTATATAATATTGTACATAAGAGTGTAAATAGCATTCACATTGAGTGGGACTGACCAAAAATAAAAAATCAAGTGGAGTTCACTCCATGTGAGTGTTATATACACTTCTATGTATATTTATTAATTATTATGTACTTGTAGCATTTTTCTATTTTTAATAAAGAAACTAAAGTTTAATATAATTTTATTTATTTTTTATATATTTACATAATATTTTTAATAAAAAATCTAAAATCTAAAAATATTTTTATTTTATTCTTTTATTTTCGACTTCGAACGAGTGCGAACGAACAAATTTTGAGTTAATTAAACATATTTAAAAAGTTTATGTATTAAATTATTCGAACACGAACGAACTCGAACTTTGACAGACAATTAAACGAACGAACTCGAACACGAGCTTGAACAGCGCAAGCTCGATTCGATTCGATTCGTTTACAACACTATGCCCTCCCGTAAAGTAAAAAGTTACCCATTTCCAGAAGAATTTTTAACGGTGCTCTTAAAATGAAAAGATAACTGGCTGTTTCTTGTTACTATGTCAACTAGTACGGTGCCCGTGCGATGCACGGGAGCATTTATTATATATATTTCTTAAACGATATTTTTGTATTTAAATTGTCTCATGTCATTAAAAATTTCATGAAAATAAAATTTATATGTTATTAAACACTTCCTTATGTACAACATTATTGATTTGATTTTTCGGCACGTAAAGTACTACATAGGTGTTCGAATTTATCCAAAATTGCATATTATTAGTTATTAGTTCACAAATTTTAAAAAAATTAATGGAACAAAACTAAAGTAGAAAAAAAAGTAAATTTTTTTAGGGATTTTCACCCATTATTTATTTTAAATCTAATTCTAAATTTCAATTAAGAAAAATTGAAAAGAATCATTAGTTAGTCCTGCAAATGAAACCGATTTTCTTACCAATAAACCAATTTTTTATCAAACAAATTGATCCGATTTTTTTTAAACCAAATAAAAAAAAAAATCATCAATATTTTTTCCTAAAAATGCAACCAAATTTTCCTAACATTGCACCAATTTTTGTACCAAACAAATTGAATTGAAAATAATTTTAATAAAAAATTGAAATAAATTGTTAATGTTTATGCAACTGTCTCTTTTCTACAGTAAATGATATGAACTTAACCAAAAAATAAAATGATATGAACTTACCAAAATCTCGGTAAAACATGTTTAAGAAAAAACATATAAATCCAAAAAAATCGATGCATTTAAATTTTAAAAAGTTGCACATAATTTTTCCTAAATAATTGGATAAGGTAACTTTAAATATCAATGATAAACCGCTTTTGTTACCAAAAAATGTGGACACAATTTTGAATGTACATCCCGTCCAAATATCAGTTTTATTTGAAAATAAAAATTGCTTGTGGCTTTATCCAATTTACACAATTTTTTTGAAAGAAAAAATTATTCAATAAGATTGGAAGAATTGGTTAAGAATTATACAACTATTTGCTTCCTAAATTTGTATCCAATTTCCACGGTTTTTAAATTAATTTGTATTTAGAATTGCTTTCATAAATAATTGACACATTTTTTGCATAAGAATCTCCAAATTTGTTACCAAAAAATATATGATTTAAATTTTGGTAAAAAAATAAAATATGATACGAAAATTATGGGATTCAAATTTTGCCATAAGAATCTCCAAATTTGTTAACAAAAAAATAGAATTTAGATTTTGTTACTAACAATTCACATGTGTTTTTTTGAACTTTCTATTAATAGTAAGTCAAACATTATATTTATTTGGTCAAACTTTCTATTAATGTATTTTTCCAACAACCTCTTTATATATATATATATATAGATATAGATTTATACAAGTATTTATTCTATATCAATTTGCCATCTGAGAAATTATTGTCTTTTAATCATCTTATCCAACTCTTGTTTTCCAATTAATCTGTTCCATCAATATAGCTCATTTTGTGCTAAACTAGTACGTAACCCGTGCGATGCACGAGACGTAAAATTTGGAAGAATAATATAATCTCACGTGCATTAGGATCGAAATTGAAATCATTAAAATACATAGGAACATTGTTGAATCATAAAAAATTCGGTAACAATCATATATTATTAAAAACCTCCTTATACACAACATTATGCGTTTGATTATTTGGTAACTCCTCATTATCACAAACTAATATTTTCAAAAGAGACAAATCCTAAAAATCAAACTAATATTTTTGGTGAACAAACTAATATTTTAGGATTTGTGAACAAACTAATATTTTAGGATTCCTAGGATTTGTCTCTTTTTGGTGAACAAACTAATATTTTAGGATTGGTTATATGAATAAGGCTATCTGTTTTCGGTGTTCTTTTCATTCATTTTTATTCAAACAATCCGGTGACTTGTATAATGAAATTCAAATCTTAAGCCGAAATATTTAAAAAAAGAGTTTTTAAAAATTGAAAAGTCAAGGCAATCAGTTCAGATTAATTAAAGCTCAAAGAATATCCGCTACGTGTGCTATCATTAACCAAATATCCGGTTATTGATATAGAATGGTTACCAAAAAATAGAACGCGATAAGGACGCTCATGGAAATATTAATGAGATAAGATCATAACAGATCGCTATACATTTTAACGATAAAAGCTCATATGGAATGATTTATGATAATTATGTCGTAATTAATGAATTAATTAGATATGTGAAAAGGACATAATTAATGAGAAGTGTGAAAATAACATAATTAATGAGAAGTGTGAAAAGAACATAATTAATGAGAAGTGTGAAAAGGACAAAAACTTACCAGCTTTGGAAAATATTTAATGCAAATCCGACATTGACCATAATTTGACCTACTATTTTGAATAAATGTTAATTCTTATTATATAAGTATAGATTGTTATCTCAAATTGGAGCATATAAAAGGAGAGAATCGAGATGGTACTGGCTCTGACTTGTGGAAAATTTTACCAAGTAATTTCAGTTCCGAAATTTTACCTTTGTTTCTACAAATATGCTGTTTCATTGCAAATTCATACTACTGCACATTACAACCTCCTTCTGTAACTTGAGTAATACCACTCGCTCTTCATCAAGATCACCAATAATCCCCACACGAACACAATCCGTCCTTAAAATGATGAAACCTGTGCATGTCTCGCACGATAATCTCTCTCCCAGTCACGAGCGAGATATATTTAGTCGCGTTATGGCAGTCCCCACAAACCCGAAGATTCTTCCTTATATGAATAGTGGTCCCCGGGTCCGTACTAATGAGCCCAAACGAGATAGCGAGCTTCTCACTATGAGTGCTCAGCAATTGCTCCTGAACATCGTCTTCCACCTCATGCATCGAGCTCTTATCCGGAACATACCCAGCCTTCTTGATCCTCTCCATCAATTTCTCGAGATACGCGTAAATCCTATCAGACTGCGGGTGGCTCGTGCTCCCCGAATAAAACGTGTGCACCTCATTCCACAAATCCACCGAGCTAAAACCCGGAGTCTTCTGAATCCCCTTCTTCTCCATCAACTTTCTCACTTTACCCACTTTCTCCCACATGGACGCGACTGCGTATATGTTTGCAAGCAAGACGTGATACCCGCCTTCATCGGGCTCCAATTCAAACACTTTATCAGCAGATTTTTCACCTAAATCCACATTTTTGTGGATCCTGCAAGCTCCAAGCATGGCGCCGTACACGTTGATCCCAGGCTCGACCGGCATTTTCTGAATAAAGTCCCAGGCCTCGTCTACCCGTCCCGCCCGGCCCAACAGGTCAACCACGGCCCCATAATGGTCCATCGACGGCTCAAGCCCGTACTCTTCCTTCATGAGATCGAAATATCGGCGGCCCTCGTCCACGAGGCCCGAGTGACTGCAAGCAGAGATCATGCACAGAAAAGTGACATCGTTCGGTATAGTTTCAGTACTTCGCATTTTTTCGAATAGTTCCAAAGCTTCCCGGCCGAAGCCGTGCGTGCCATAGCCGTCGATCATGGCATTCCACGTGGTGACATGTCGCTCATCCATCGAGTCGAAAAGCTCTTTCGCCATGCGTACGGACCCGCACTTTGCGTACATGTCGACAAGGGCAGTCATCACGAACATGTTCGTACCCAAACACGTCCTTACACAGAGCCCGTGAACCCATTTCGCGTGCTTCAACACCGAGAGCTCGGCCACGGCGGTTATGACGCCAACTAGCGTGAACGAGTCGCGTCTCGTGCCGCCGCGCTTTTGCATTTCGCGGTAGAGCTTCATAGCCTCGATTGCTCGGTTATTTTGGGCGTAGCCCAGAATCATCGCGTTCCACGAGACGAGCGTTTTTGTTTTCAACTTGCGGAATAATTCGGCGGCTATATCCCACCGTTTGCACTTGCAGTACATTGAGATCAGAGAGTTTATTACGGAAACATCCGAATCGAGTCCCGGCTGATTAATAATAAGGCGGTGAATGAACTGACCTCGGTTAATGTCGCACGAGTCGGCGCACGCGTGGAGGGCTCCCATCACGGTAACATTGGTCGGCTTCAAACCCGAATCGAGCATCTTTTGAAACAAATCTAATGCTTCCTTGGAATCCCCACTTTGTGCATATCCATCAATCATTGAATTCCACGACACGACGGTTTTGGAGCCCATCTTATCGAAAACCCGTCTAGCGGTCTCAACCGACCCGCATTTTGCATACATGTCTAATAAAGCCGTGGAAACATTCACGTACGACTCCAGTTTACGTCTCAGGATGTACGCGTGGACTGTTTTCCCCATCCTCAAATCTCCGATACTGGCGGAGGCCGGCAGGATGGAGACAATGGTGACCAGATCAGGGGCATGACCATCTTTTTGCATATGGCAGACCATATCAAGTGCCCTCTTCGGCATCCCATTCTGTGCGAAACCCACAATCACGGTGTTCCAGCAAACCAAATCCCTTTCGGGAATTCTGTCAAACACCTTGAAGGCATCGTGAATCAAACTGCATTTGGCATACAAATTCATCACACTGCTCATGGCGTACAAATTCTCGGAGAACCCATTCAACACTAGATGCGCGTGAATCTCTTTCCCCCTCCGAACATCGAAATTGTCCGCGCAGGCTTTCAATAAGTACGAGTAATTATACACCGTCTGAGCAACTCCATCGCGCCTCATCCGGCAGAAGAACTTGAAGGCGGCCTTCAGATTGGGCTGCTGGGCGTAGCCTTTAAGAAGGGTGTGGTACAGAGGGTCAATTTTGGACTCAATCGGTTCGAACACCTTGACGGCGTCGTTTAGGCTCCCGAACCTGCAGAACAAACTGACGAGCTTGGTCTGGAAGAGGTGCTCGCCGTACAAACCGTTTTTTATGATAAGGGGGAGGAATTGACGGAGCTCCTTGATGGAAGTGCACAGCTCGAGGAGTGTCGCGGCTGGGTGTCTGTACACGTGGTCAGGGATGTGGACCCGCGGCGACAAGAAAGGAGTGGCGTTGGCGGAGAGTGGCGGCGGGGGCGGTGTGCGGGGCAGTAGGAGGTGGTGGCTCATGGGTGGTGCCAGCCGGTGGTGGGAAGTTGAAAAAGGAGACAGATGTCGTGACTTGTGAGTGTGGATATTTTGTGCCTCCGATGAAATTTTACGCCGGAAAAATATGTTATTTTTCTTTTCTTTCAGTTGAGTTCGTTATGTGATGATTTTTTCTTATCGTTAATCTATCCGTAAATGGACGATGCAAATGAGTGGAGTTTAATTCGTGGAGCTTTTATACAAAACAAGTTGTCCGTGAACTCAATTCAATCCGACTCATTAGATTAATTGAATTATACATTAGGAGTTTTTGGTAATTTTTATCGCTCTTAAAGTTCGAATTTGACTCGCTATTTTAATAAGTCATTCAAAATTAAATTATACATAAACTATTTAAGCGAATTATAAATTAAATAACAATGAAATTCAAAAATTAATTATAAAAATAAACTTTATCTCAACCATCATAAGTTGTAAAAATTATTAATTACAATTACATAAAAAATATTTGTTAATGTGGAAATAAAAATGAATATGATATCTTGATGTCTACCTACTTTACCTCTCAAATAAAGCTTCACCAAATCTTCAACTCCTTGGGCCTCACCGGAGAGCATCTTCAAAACATTGGGTCTAGTCTTGTTTATGTGGCAAGTAAATAAACCTAAGTCTTAGATGATATGGATAAAACTATGTAAAATTAATAAAATTCACTCCAATGCAAAGAGACTAAGTCTCTACTTGGGTTTAAAATAGACTTAAGAGGAGACCGGGTCTCTTGTTCTGGCAGCCACATTAGCAGGACCCAGTTACTTTTATTTGCATTGGAGAATATATTTTTTTAGACTGGGTCTATTTCTTATGTGGCATGTAATTTTTTGGGATTGAACCCAAAGCATTGTGGATACTCTAAAGCTCTGGATGTTCTCACAGCTTCACGAAAAGTGACGAATTTAGAGCATCTCCAATTGACTTTTGACATTATAATAAGTCATCCATATCATCAACTTTTAAAAGTGTGTTGCTATTTTTTTCTCCAATGCATCTTGTCATTAACTCTTTCATGATGAGGTAGATGTCATTTAATGTTGACAATGTTAAGCACACTTTTTAATATCTAACATCATGTTAAACATGATGACTCATCAATTTACTTTGTATTTGTTTTAATTTTTTTATTTTACTTGTATCAATGAATTATTTAATTGGTCAACCTATACAAATAACTTCTTATCAAATTGATGCATTAGAGATACTAGTTTTATTTAAATATCTAGTCTTTTAACATTATTCCAATGTGGATTAACATTACAATCACTAAATTGACATGTGTTAAAAAAAAATGGTCTTTCAAACTCATAGCATTGGAGATGCTGTTACAAAATTGGAGTTGAACACCACAATTTCCACTTAAATAATTCTCTCTATCTTCATAATAGTCCAAAGTTTTGGGCCTAGACAATAAATAAGCCCAATATGGTTAAGGGGTGCCCAAATTCTGGTCCATATTACTGGGCTTGGATGTTTTGGGCAACAGTATGAGCTAATCAAAAGCTCAGGGGCAAAGAAAATTACTGCTTCTTTTTCACCTGCAGTGCTGAATCTGGTTTTGCAAGACGGGGGCACAATGGCTCTCAATTCCAAGTTCATGCACCTCCTTGGTACTTTGACCTTGAGCTGTATTTATCACTTTTCAGTTTCACTGGTTTACTTTAGTCGCTCAAATATTGAATTTCAAAATGATTTTTCACAAGGTTACGATGTGTTGCTGGGTTCGGTTGCTGCTATTTATGTGTTCATGGCACCCTACACAAAGGTTGAAGAAAGCTTCAATGTTCAGGTACAAACTTATTCTTTGATCCCTTTTTTTTTTGGGTTTCTTAAAGCTGTAGTCGTGCGAATGTTATACAAAGTCGTTTGCCTTAGAGTGTTAAAACTTAAAAGAGATCATGTGTATCAAAGCTGTTCTCTTCGAGGGATTATTTTTCATTCTATGATTTTTATGGGTCTTAATCTTTAGTATAAACCACCAACAATGTTTAACATTTTTTTTTTAATTGGCAAGGCAATGCACGACATTTTGTATTGGCGGCACCACATAGAGAAGGTGAAGATTGGATCTTTATGATCATTAGATTTATTGTGAACTGTATTGGTGGATAGTTCTCCCCCATGTTTACCTACTTTACTGTGTCCATGTTTTGTTTTCTTCGTCTCAGTATGATCACCTAGACTTTCCTGGAGTAGTTCCTCGGACGTTTATTGGTGAGGTCTCTCATGCTATTTTCTCCAATGCTAAACATGATATATTCCCGAATGATATATTTGTCCCGTAGTTGTATGGAAAGTTAAATTTTAGCGTTTCCCATTGTAGATGGTAGGTTCACACGCTTTGTATGATATAATAGTCTTCTTTACCTTTTGAAATCGATTGCTGCCATTGTCTTACTTTTTACTTTCATGCTAGATATATAGGATATGGGGGAACTTGACGTTTTTTTGGTTCTTTCAGTTCTCACATATATAAATTCTCTTTGCAGGGGCCTTGATTGTATCAATATTATCTTGTCCGTTTGCGATAGTAGCAAGTTTACTTCAGTTGCCAAAGATATATAGTCTCTATGCAGGTAACACATTTTCACAAGGGACGTGCACTTTTCTTCTGTCAGAATTGAGATTATTTGCTAAATATGCTTGAACTTAGTGCTTTATGTGAGATTAAATTTCATGTATATATAGTTCCCATATTGTCAATGGCAATTAACAATACAATTTGCTTTTGTCTAGTTCGTTTGGTGTTAGGTTTCACCATCTTGTATACACTGCGATTCTTCCGGATTCAGGTGAAACCTTGAAATATACTTTTCATCACTCATCTTTTTTTCTACTCATTGTCTCTTATACATGTAATGGTGGGTCATACTTTAATGACCAGGTATATACTTGTCTGGTTCAGTTGTTACTGGTTTATCTGATAATGCAAAATATCACTTTCATGGTTCTAGAAGAAAAATCAACAGTTTTTATGCATTGATCAAATTTTGGCCGTTTTCAATTTTATGGTTGCCTGTGCTTGCCTTTTTTTGGTTTCCTAGACCTTTACTGATTTCTTGATGTTTTTGTTTCTGTTAAGTTTTGTTTTATTTCTGTTTACCCCATTTTCCTTTTTATATTTTAAGATAGCAGCATGCTTCATCCTATTATTTCGGTATGCTGCTAGACATATTATTAATGTGATTTTTTAAGTCTGATGCATATGCTCCCAGAATATACTGATCTCCAAAGTCTTGTGCTGCCCTTATTTGGTGTCCCGTTATGGTCAATGATATAAAATTGCTCAAATTTAAGCAGATCAGGAAGAATTTTGGATCTCAAGTTGAAGCATTTTTTGTAATATTGACTGCCATTCAGTTTCACACGTTGTTCTACTGCACAAGGCCCCTTCCTAATATATTGGCATTTGGTCTTGGTAAGATTCTGTCTGTTAGAAAAGGTCCTTATTGCACTTTCGATCATAGAAGTGGAATTTTAATATTTTTCATTTTCAATACAACTGCAGATGTCTATTCTATCTCCTATGTCATTGCTCCTAACTTCCTTTTCAATTTGTTTCTCATGTTGCCATGATCTGTTGCTTGTAGTAAACTTGGCCTATGGGTATTGGTTTAAGCAAAGTTTTTATGCAGCATTAAATTCTTTGGTATGCTTTCTCACTGTTAATTAGAAGAGAAGCAAATATACTGGGAAAAACATTATGTATTTGTTCTTGCATCATTTTCACTTTACAATGTCTAGAAGTCTGTGTTTTATTGGTCAGGTTTTGGCCACCATTATCTTCCGATGTGACATCTTGTTACTTGCTATGCCTCTGGGCCTAGAGCTACTTCTGGTATGTGGTTTTAATCATTGATTAGTTTTTCGAATTTGCTGTTTCTTTCTCTCTCTCTCTCTCTCTCAGGAGAACCCTATTTGTGTTTTTATCTAAATAGTCTTTTGTCATCTGCTTGGTCCATAAAATCCTTTAGAGCCGTATCGGGATCGATACATAGTAATACCTAAGCACTTTACCATACAAATTATGCCGGAGATGCTTTATTTTTTCCCTCTGCAACATTCAACATTAAAAAACTTTGATAACATAGGTTCTCCCTGGATTTTTTAGCCACTTCGAAATATTAGGCCCCATAATTAAAATCATTATAAATTGGTGGAAAAAAATTATTATGTTCTGTTAGTTAGATGATAACTTGCTTTTGAGAAAGTTGTTTTATGGCTGTCTTTTTAAAGCATATTTTTTCTGATGTTCGATGAGTATTATGTTTCTATGCTCTGCTATAACATGCTGGTCTCTTCATTTCTCTTAACAAGTTTACTTAATCAACTGCAGTCTAGAACAATTTCATTGCCGAAAGCTCTATTAACTTGCGGGATAACTGTTTTGTTTTGCATAGGTTTGTGTTCCTGGCCCTACTACTTGTACATCTTTATGCCTTCTGATACTTTTATGTCAATGATATCAATTATTATAATCATACATTACAGGTCTTACGGTGCTGGTAGATTCATTACTATGGAGGAGATTGTTATGGCCTGAGCTTGAGGTTTTTTGGTTCAACTCAGTGTTGAACAAGAGTTCTGAATGGGGTGTATCCTTTCATTCTTTTACATAATTTTTTTTTTACATTAAATTTTTCTTCTTCCTTAATATCTCTACTTTAGACTCATGCTTTTCACTGGTACTTCACATCAGCACTTCCCCGCTCATTGCTGGCAGCATATCCACTGTTTGTGGTGAGTGTAAGACTGATTCTTCGTGAAATTGATTGAAAACCCCAAAAACACGTATACAGCATATTACACAATTAAAAGGAAATCATTATATATTACTTAAGATGGAGGGGTACAGTGCTAAACATCCGCCCACTTTATTACACAATTAAAAGGAAAAACAAATGGCAGAACAAGAGAATCCATATATATAGGGAGACTTGGAATATTTTCTTTTTTCCCTTTAGAGGAAAACATATGTCACTTGAAATCTTGAGAATTCTAGGGAAGTTAAGGATAAGTAAATCCTTTTCAATTGGACCGGTCCCAATCAAACAAAAAAAACTCAATAATGTTGACCGGGAATCTTAAACAGGGTGGCATCTGAAAACACGCACACACACACAATGTTCAAAAAAAAAAAAAAAATGAAAAGAGTCAAGATCTTAATATTGTCTTTTACGGAGCATGTAAACTATTCAAAAGAAGTATGGGTTCACATTGACACCTTCTCAGCCATTAATGGGATCTCACGCTTCTGTGAGAATGGCGAGCCATGGCGGTAAGGCTTGATAACATTTCCCATTTCTGGAATGTTAGAATTGAGGTTATTAGATAGATTTGGTCCAAGTTTCAGATCATAGATGGTCGATTTGCAGGTACTCAAAAGAAGAAGGGATACCGTTGCAAGAGTTTCAGAATAGACATTTCACATACCTTTTGAGGGGAGACATTCGTGCAAATCATTGCCCAGTTTAGTCTATTTTACATAAATTTTGGATTCTAAGATATTTTACACATTTGTCATCCTTGTCAAAAGCACATTTTTGTTCTAATAGATTTCGTTATAGATTTGGATTTGCTGGATATGAGATTCATCATAATTTGACTTGGATTATTATTTAAAATTCTTGGATTCTTACGTCCCTAATGCATGATATAATGTATCTTCATATATCTATTTTTGTTTTTAGCTTCAACTATTCACTTTGCATTTTCGAAATAATAAATCTTTTTTCTGTATCCTTTTGTTGGGCTTGTTTGTAATGCAGTGAGCATGAACTAATCCATGGTTACAAGTGTTTATTTAGCATAAAGGGATTTTCTGGTCTTCGTGTTGGTGCACGATTTCCTCCCGTATCGCTGGTAAATGGAGAAAAACCATATATCTCAATTATTTTTTTCTGTACCAGCTGTGATCTAATAACTTCTGTGTACAACACAGGTCAAAAGCCCCAAGGTATTTGTCCATGGGAACTTGGAATATGAGGAAATATACCGTAGAAGCTGGCCAGGATGCTAATTTCTGACTCAAGAGATAAAAGCCTAGAAAAAGCTTCACTTGCTGTAATAAACTCCCAACTGTGAGCAAAATCAAACTAAAAGAAAACAAAAAGAAAAAATCATTAACATTCAGAATGCCTTCAAAGATTTTTTTTTTTATTTTTTTATTTTTTTTTATTTTTTATCTACAGTATTACTTTTAGCTAAGAAATATCGTTTATCACTTCAAATAGTGACTGTTGTATGAGTTGAAAATTCACCCATTGCAAAGTCTTGAAGTGCTTTACCCGACTATTTATGTTCATTGATTTATTTTGTTCTTTTCTCTGCTTAATACCTCAGCCTGATCATACTGTATCATAAGAACAAATAATATAAACACTAAACAGTGGTATATTTGTTTCACCGCTAAATTCTTGTATGTGTAATCAGAATACGTATACATACTAAAAGTAAGCTTATGGAAATCCCAAAAGGCAAAAGTATGATTTTATAATGTTTACAAAACAGTATTTCGAAAGTAGAAAGATGAATAAAGGCAAAAGGAAACTCATTATTCTTCTATAATCTCGTTACGGAACTATTCCGTTGGGATTTGTAACTGTTAGATTAACTATCATTGACGATTACTTGATGATCCAACGATTACAAATCCCAACGAAATAATTCCGTAACGGAATTGTAGCATTTCCCTTAATATTTATCAACAAATTTTGCTTAATCCACGGGAACCATCATGTTTAAAGAATCCACGGGAAGTAGCATAAAAATCTTGTGGTGGGGGTTCTTTCTAAATAAAACAGACTTCAGGGGCATATATGAAATTAAAAAAAAAAAACATAAAACGGAACCACAGTCAACAGAAGGGTGTTTTTATCTTCAGATTTTTTTCTTTCAACTCGCAGTCTAAACCCTACGCCGGAAAATTTTACACAGCGCCATGCTTCTCCAACTCAGCATCCCAAAATCTCCTCCAAATTATCCTAAACAGAACCGCAGCACTGTATACGCTCCAAATGCGCCCTCATTTTCATCTGGGCTCCTTAAAAATTCGTCCTTTTTTCTGAAACAGTCCATCTTATCCACCAGCTACAGAATCCATAAGAAAAATCCGGTTTTTATTACGTGTTCATCAGTATCAAATGTGCACAGGTATGGAACAGTTGACTATGAGAAGAGGCCCACGCCTAAGTGGAACGATATATGCAAGAAAATATTTAAGCTGGAAAACTCGAATTTGGGGGCTGCTTCAGTGTTAAATCAGATGGAAAATAAGGGCAAGATGATCACAAAATGGGAGATTTCCAACATTTTGAAGGAGCTCAGGAAATTTAGGCGGTTCAAGCTTGCACTTGAGGTAATTTTGATTTTTGAACGGAAAAAGATGGGGAAAATTCAAGTTCTTAGGAGAAGAAGTGTGATCAGTACGGTGCTGATTCGTACTCTTTTGTTTTCTGGAGAATTAAAGAACGGTCCTTGATTTATTCTATTTTGTGTTCCTTAACCTTTGGAACTCATGTTCAAACGTATATGTAGATAATTAAGTTTTTGGTTTGTGTTAGTCTTGTTCCAACATATGTGTACAAAGTTAGGTTTTTTATTTGCTGTTTTTTTCAGGTATATGAATGGATGAGTAACAGGCCAGAGAGGTTCAGAGTAACGAGCAGTGACACGGCCATACACCTCGACCTCATCGCAAAAGCTCACGGCGTCTCGAGCGCCGAACAATACTTCAAAAAATTACCAGACGGCTTAAAGGACACGAGAGTATACGACTCTCTCCTGAATGCGTACTCCCGCTCAAAAATGAGGGAAAAAGCCGAGTCCTTATTTGACAAAATGAGGAATCGAAACTACACCAACCACGCCCTTCCTTTCAACGTGATGATGACCCTCTACATGAACCTCAAAGACCACGAGAAAATCGAGTCATTAGTATCAGAATTAGTTGGGAGAAGGATACCGCTAGATATCTATACCTACAATATATGGCTCTCTTCCCGTGGGTCCCAAGGCTCCCTGGACAAAATGGAGCAAGTTTTTAAGCAGATGGAGCTCGACAACTCCGTAAAACCCAACTGGATAACTTACAGCACACTTGCCATGACTTATATTAAATCGGGGCTCTTCGAGAAAGCTGAGGAATATCTGAGGAAAATGGAGGATCTGATTACAGGCCGTCGAAACCGTAATCCTTACCACTATCTCATTAACCTGTACGCTGCTGCACGCATGAAGGAGGAGGTTTATCGAGTATGGAGCATTTACAAGGCCTCATTTAGAAATATCCCAAACTTGGGGTATCATGCGGTAATTTTAGCCCTCACCCGCTTGGATGACATGGAGGGTGCCGAGAAGATGTACGACGAGTGGCTTTCGGTAAAATGGGCTTACGACCCGCGGCTGGGGAATCTGCTTTTGAGCTCGTATGTGGGAAAGGGGCTTTCGGAAAAGGCTAAGACTTTTTTCGAGCAGATGATGGAGAATGGGGGGAAACACAACTCTATGAGTTGGGAGATACTCTCGGAGGACCACATTGCAAATATGAGGATTCCCGAGGCCCTTTCTTGCCTGAAAAATGCTGCGGCCTTAGCTGATGAGGGGTCAAGAAACTGGAAGCCCAAGCCTGTAAATGTGTCGAAAATTCTCAAGATTGTGGAAGAAGGTGATGACGTGGCAGGTAAGGAGTCATTGTTGGAGATTTTGAGTGAGGTTGGGTGTGTGAAGGATGCAGATTACAAGTCATATATTATACCCTTGTCGGGTGGTGAAAAATTTGCTGGGAATGAAGAGGGTAGTGGTGCTGATGCAGGTGATGATGGAAATTTTGGGCTTCTCCACCAACTCCAGGACCAGGAGAGCTTTTGAGGGGAGATGTTTGTATTTTGTCCTAGTGAGTCGGTGACTTTGTAGAAAAGAAACAAACGCCTGGGCGTGTTTTGTTATTGACTTCAACTTTTGTTCTTGTTTAACGTTATCAATTGGCAAAACAAGCTTCACAAGTGTAGAATTTGGTCATTTCGTGCCTAAAATGGTACAAGTACCTATCCATGCTGCATGAGTGGGGCTGCAAACGACTATACAAGTCGAGTATTCACCTTATCGAGCAGGATTGGTTTTCTTTTTTTAGCTGCTCGAGCTCGACTCAATAAAAAAGTATGATTGCTCGAGCTCGGTTCGAAAATCTTTAAGTGGAAAAATAAATTTACCATTAAACACCTATGCTATAATATTGTAATATATATAAGGAGTATTTTAGTAATTCAATATGTATTTCAAGCCGTTCAACGACCATCCGACAATGCAAAATATGGACTCGAGCTCGAGTTTTGACTCAAGCGCTCGCAAGCGGTTCGCGAGCCGTTCGATTTGTTTGCGGCCCTTTCAACGGATGCTATTTGATACTTTTGTTTTTTTTTTAGTGATATTTTCTTTGGGAGGTCTCTTTAAAAAAGAAATAAATAAAGAAAAGGAAGAAGACTACAGTCGTAATTATTCCTTCAAGATTTTTAACTGTTAGATACACATAAAGATAAATGTAAGAAAAATAAATATAAGAAAATAATCTACGGTTTAAAACTCAGACGCAACGATGGGAGGGAGGGATGTGTCTTTCTCAAAGAAAAGAACATGTGATTAACCAAGTAGCATAAAAGTCTTGTGGGGGGGTACTTTCTTAATAATACAGACTTCAGAGGCATATAT